GCTCTCGCCTGAGCGCCGCGCGCATTCGTTTTTAATATTCGCAAGCGTTTCGCGGATTGAGGGCCGTTCCTTTTCAAAATGTTGTTCTCGCCTGGGCGCCGCGCACATTCGTTTTGAACATGCGCAACACAAGTTTCAAAGATTGAGGGCGGGTGGTTTTCAGAATGTGACTCTCGCCTGAGCGGCGCGCACATTCGTTTCAAAATTTTGCAGGAGTTTCAAAGATTGAGGGCGGGTGGTTTTCAGAATGTGGCTCTCGCCTGAGCGCCGCGCACATTCGTTTTGCTTGAGGGCAGGTGGTTTTCAAAATGTGGCTCTCGCCACAGTGCCGCTCACATTCTTCGTAAATTATTCAACGTATTACGGAATCTGAGGGCGGCTCTTTTTCAACATGTGGCTCTCGCTTCAGCGCCGCGCACATCCGTTTTAAGCATTTTCAAGACTTCCAATGGTTACCATGACCAACGTACCGCACATTGTTTTTTGAAGCGATTCCGGATTATGCGGGTGCAGCAGTTATGTTGATTCACGCTGCTGAAGTGGAAAAAATAGCGTTATGACACGATCCCGGATTGCCAAAATGTCAGGTTGATACGTGGCATTGAAATCCCGAGAACAATGTTTTGGCATGCTTCAGGATCTTCAAAGAGTTGCCTTCCAACGAGGCAGTTCCCTCAATGGAACTGAACCGTTGTAGGGGCCTATGAGGAGGGAGCTTGGAGGGAGGGTTAATTCCAATATGGTTGGTGGCTCTTGGGTTTACGCTGGTCCCCCTCCTCCTCCATCCCGCCTCCTTATAGATAAGTCCTCCCTGTCACACCTCGAGGCCAGTTTCTAGGGCGGGTCGGACGTTTCGCTTGAGACTTCCTCACCACTTATGACCCCGAAGCTTAAAGTGAGACAACAGCTTCACGGATTGAGGGCGGTTGGTTTTCAAAAGTTAGTTCTCGTCGTAGCGCCGCGCACATTGGTCTAAAACATGTGAAGAGCTTCGCGGATCGAGGGTGGTTCCTTTTTCAAAATGCGGTTTTCGCTTTATCGCCGCGCACACTCGTTTTAGAACTTTGCAAGCGCTTCACGGACTGAGGGCGGGTGGTTTCAAAAATTGTGGTTCTTGCTTGAGCGCCGCGCACACTCGTATTGCACATTTTGCAAGAATTTCACGGATTTGGGGCGGCTCGTTTTCTAAAGGCGGCTCTCGCCTCAGCGCCGCGCGCACTCGCTGTAAAGAGTTTCACGGATTGAGGGCGGGTGGTTTTCAAAATGTGATTCTCGCTTGAGCGCCGCGCACATTCGTTTTATACATTTGCAAGATCTTCACGGATTGAGGGCGGTTCTTTTTCAATGTGTGGTTCTTGCTTGAGCGCCGCGCACATTCGTTCTGTCAAGTTTGCAACAGCTTCACGGGTTCCCATGATCAGCGTTCCAGACATTCTGTGTTTTGGAAGGATTCAGGGCTACGCGGGCGCAACAGTTATGTTGATTCGCTGCGTTGGAGTCCCACGAAAAGGCGTTTTTGCGTGATTCTGGATCGTCAAGACGCAGCAGTCATATTGATACGTGGCGTTTCTCCGAAGGGCTTAGGCGACCCGTCCTCCATTCCTTCTCCTCATAGATAACTCATCCCTGTCGCACCCCGAGGCCAGTTTTTAGGGCGGGCCGGGCGTTTCGCCTGAGACCTCCTCACCACTTGTGACCCTGAAGCCTAACAAGGTGACAACATCACCGATTGAGGGCGGTTGGTTTTCAAAATGTGGCACTCGCCTGGGCGCCGCGCGCATTCGTTTTGTCAAAATTGCAAGAGGTTCACGGACTGAGGGCGGGCCGTTTTCAAAATGTGGCTCTCGCCTCCGCGCCGCGTGCATCCATCAAAACACTTGCAAGGGCTTCGCGGATTAAGGGCGGGCCGTTTCCAATATGTGGCTCTCGGCCTAGCGCCGTGCACACTCGTTTTAAAACGCTGCAGGAGCTTCACGAATTGAAGGCGGGTGGTTTTCAACATGTGTCTCTCGCCTGAGCGCCGCGCACATTCGTTTTATACATTTGCAAGATCTCCACGGATTCCCATGGCCAGCGTACCAAGCATATTTTTGCTTGAAGGATTCAGGGCTATGCGGGTGCAACAGCTATGTTGATTCACGCTGCTGGTATATTACAAATGGCGTTATGGTAATATTCCAGATCGCCAAATCGTTAGGTTGATACGTGGCGTTGAAATCCCGAGAACAATGTTTTGGCATGCTTCAGGATCTTCAAAGAGTTGCCTTCCAACGAGGCAGTTCCCTCAATGGAATTGAACCGCTGTAGGGGCCTATGAAGATGGAGCTTGGAGGGAGGGTTACTTCCAATATGGTTGGTGGCTCTTGGGTTTACGCTGGTCCCCCTCCTCCTCCATCTCGCCTCCTTATCGATAAGTCCTCCCTGTCACACCTCGAGGCAAGTTTCTAGGGCGGGTCGGACGTTTCGCTTGAGACTTCCTCACCACTTATGACCCCGAAGATTAAAGTGAGACAACAGCTTCACGGATTGAGGGCGGTTGGTTTTCAAACTGTCGTTCTCGTCGTAGTGCCGCGCACATTGGTTTAGAACATGTGAAGAGCTTCGCGGATCGAGGGTGGTCCATTTTTCAAAATGCGGTTTTCGCTTTATCGCCGCGCACACTCGTTTTAGAACTTTGCAAGCGCTTCACGGACTGAGGGCGGGTGGTTTCAAAAACTGTGGTTCTTGCTTGAGCGCCGAGCACATTCGTATTACGCATGTTGCAAGAGTTTCACGGATTGGGGGCGGCTCGTTTTCAAAAGATGGCTCTCGCCTCAGCGCCGCGCGCACTCGCTGTAAACATTTGCAAGTTTTTCACGGGTTGAGGGCGGGTGGTTTTCAAATTGTGTCTCTCGCTTGAGCGCCGCGCACATTCGTTTTATACATTTGCAAGATCTTCACGGATTGAGGGCGGTTCTTTTTCAATGTGTGGTTCTTGCCTGAGCGCCGCGCACATTCGTTCTGTCAAGTTTGCAACAGCTTCACGGGTTCCCATGATCAGCGTTCCAGAGATTGTGTTTGGGAAGGATTCAGGGTTACGCGGGCGCAACAGTTATGTTGATTCGCTGTGTTGGAGTCCCAAGAAATGCGTGTTGGCGCGATTCTGGATCGTCAAGACGCAGCAGTCAGATTTATACGTGGCGTTGAAATCCCGAAACCAATGATTTGGCACGCTTCAGGATTTTCAAACGGTTGTCTTCCAACGCGGCAGTTCCCTCAATGGAAATGAACCGTTGTAGAGGCCCAGGGAGCTTGGAGGGAGGGTTAATTCTAACATCGTTGGTGACTCTTGGGTTTCCACTGGTCCTCCTCCTCCTCCTCCTCCTCCTCGTACTCGTCCTCCTCCTCCTCCTCCGACTCCCCCTCCTCCACTTCCTCCTCCTCCTTTTCCTCCTCCTCGGGTCGCCTACGGCCCTGGGGCAAACCGTGCAGTTGGAGGTGTCCTGGAAGTCTTTTCGAGCCCTCTTCAGGGAATGTTGCGTGCTTCCCGAGTTCTTCGGGGGCCCTCTTGGAGGCCTTTGTGACCCTCCTGGGGCCATCTTGGAGGACATGCTGGGGCCGTTTGGGAGCCCGTGCTGTCCAACATGTGGCCTCCCTTGGGCCATCTTGCGGCTTCATGAGCCGATGGGAAGCGAAAGGTCGAGAGAAAGAGAGAGCAGAACACATGGACGCAAATTAGGGGCTTCAGTGGTTTAGTCCAGTCCCTCAGGGGCGTCTCAGAGGCCACTTGAAGTCGTCTTTGGCCGTCTGGAGGCCTCTCGGCGGCACGCTGCAGGCTATGATGACAAATCTTGGACCAGATTGCTCCATATTGGAGGTAATCATGGCGCCTGGAGCCATCTTGGATCCATCTTGGCCGAAGAGCCTCCCAAGGATGCTCCTGACAGGCCCAAAACATCAAACAACATGAGTTGTTTCAATGATTTAGAATTGGCTCTGAGGAGAGGAGAGGTCCTCAATTGTCGTCCCTCCATCGGAGGTCGAAAAAGCGTTCCTCGTGGCCCTCATGGGGCGCTCGTGGGCGCTCTGGGGGTTGTCTTGGAGCCCTCCCTCCAGGGCCCCTCTTGGGGCTCTCTGGGCGATTTGGGGGCCATCTTGAGGCTGCAGTCGCCCATCGGGAGCGAAATGGCGAGAACATAACACCCATGGAACACATTATCTGTTTGAAGGATGTTGGGCTCACGGGAGCGTCCTCAGGAAGGCCATGTGGCGACTGGAAGCCGTCTTGGGGCCTCCTGGAGGCATGTAGAAAGCCATCTTGGGCTACACTGCCATCTGGGATGTATTTTTTGGGTACCTGAGGCCGTCTTGGAGCCATATTGGGACAACTTGGAAGCTGCGATGGGTCGAGGCCCCGGACTCACAGACTCAGGGGAGGGAAAGGGGGAAGGGTCACCCCCCCCAATTGAAAGAAGGTAGTTGGAAAAAACGAGCTCGCTAAACTGCATACGCTCAGAGAGCCAGTGGGGATGACTCCTGTCCATCCCCTCATTCTGACACCGCTGCTGTTCTTTGAATATGGCTGTCCAAGGGTCTTGCACTCTACCTGGCATCCTTACCAATCAGAAGCCCTGGCTGTAAACATCGACCAAGGAACGGCACGAGCAGACTGGCCACGCCATGCAACGTTATTGTCTCGGGTAGCCAGGTTTACGACTTGTACGGCCTGGGCGAGAGCTGCATTCAGATACGGCCTGACCAAGGTATAAGATCGACGTCGGGTCGGGGAGGGTACTTTGATGTGTTTCGTGCTTGCGGGATGCTCCTGTGCATCCTGGTGAGGGTACTCTTGGACGTTCTGTATGTTGTTGCCGGCGGAGGGTCTGTTCTTGAAGGATGTTCTTCTGTCTTATGTCCGATTGTATGTCCGAATCTCTCTTACCAGCGTTCGGCCCTCGTTAGTATTTTATCTGTTCGTTTGCAAGGCGTTGGTTCCAATGTGATGTGCCCTTCGCAGCCAGGACCGCGTCGCCACCTGCCTCCAGCAGTGCGAGGGGGCCGAGCGCAGTCAGGAGAACTGCTAG